CTTTACTGAGGATTTCTATTTTTTTCATTTGTTTCAAGCATGGTCATGATTGCTGATTAAAGCATTTTTATGATGGCCACCTTAAAATTCTCACCAAGAAATGGAAACATCTCTGTCTTTGCAGTGTTGGCATTTGTTGATTGTCTTCTTTCATTCATTCTGAGATATTTTGGTTCTTGATATGATGAGTAATATTCAACTGCGTCCTGGACATTTTGGGTATTATCTTATGAGACTCTGGTTCTCATCTAAACATTCTGTGTTAGACAGGTTCCTCTGATGTACCATTCTGGAAGGTAAAGCAGCAGCATGGACTCATTACTTCCAGGTGAAGGTAGAAGTCCAGGCCCCACCAAACCTCCGTTGGTACCCGACTGGGGATGCTCCTAGTTACTGCTGGATGGGGATGGGTGCTCCAGCTATCCACTAGACCTCTGTAGCTGGGAGAGGGTGGAGGTGAAAGTACAGGCCCCCTACGTGGTTTTCACTGACACCACAAGCTCTGGGGGTCTCACTGCTGCCCAGCAGGGATGAAACCCTGGTTCCAGCTCAGCCTTCTATGCCAACACTCCAGAAGGAAGGACTGGGCAACTTTCTACTGTCTTGTGAGGGTGGAAATGTAGGCTCCCCATTCAGATTTAGTAACAGGAGCTGAGTGGGGCACCACTGTTTTCTGTAATATTTGGTGGATTAGAACAATTATTGTCTAGTGGCTTCCTGTCTTGCTAAGCTGACCATTCCCTAGTCCTTTAACTAGAGCAAGAAGACTTCAGTTGCATTTTGTTTTTGGTTTTGTTTTTATCTGTGCCTGTTGTTATTTCCAGGCTGCTAGCTTCTTCAGCTCCAATTCTGGCATATATGCAGAGAAAAGAAAACCCAGGAAACTCCTCCATGTAATTTCTTAGGTCACAAGATACCTAGCTGAATGCCTTTTCTCTTCAACTTTGAGTCTTTTATGTTTACTTTACATATAATGTTCAGAGTTTTTATTTGATTTATTGAATTAAGTAGGGAAAAGTATGTCTACTTAATCTTTCCAAAGTGGAATAGGAATAGGATATAAATGTGTGAATAGGTGAGAAAAGAACAAACCACAGAAAAGAAATATGAAATCAAAATTCCCCAAAATTTGAAACAGAAATGTAAGTGATATATTTTTGGAATAATACAAGATAAAATAATTATTTTCCCTTGGAAAATGTTTATCCCAAAAAGTTTGGCCTAAAAAATGTAATGTGAGTGTTTCCTGATTATGAGTTTGCTTTCAAGAAGCAGCCAGGTTGTAGAAAAAGGTAACAATTTTTTCACTCAGAATGCCAGTTCATTTCCATTCTAAATAAACTCTCATTTCTAGTTCAAGGGGTCTTGATCTTAAATGTGGAGAAAAGATCAAATGCATCCGTTACGCATATGCATATATGCATATGTTAAGATATATTCATTTACCAAGTGACTTCCTACTCAGAGAATTCACCTCATTACACATTGTCCAGAAGAGTCAATTATTTAAATACTCTGGGGCCTTTTTATCAAGACTGCATTTTGAATTTCTTTGACCAATCAGATTTCCAAAATGGGAAGATCATCATCAAACTATTTCTGAAAGAGACGGGGCAGATTAAGAGATAAGTAAAACACACTCCTCAAGTGCAAGCAATACTATTATCAAATTGGTGGGTGTTAGTAACAGGTTTGTTTTGTTTTGTTTTTGTTTTTTGCGGTACGCGGGCCTCTCACTGTTGTGGCCTCTCCCGTTGAGGAGCACAGGCTCCAGACGTGCAGGCTCAGCGGCCATGGCTCACAGGCCCAGCCGCTCCACGGCATGTGAGATCCTCCTGGACCAGGGCACAAACCCATGTCCCCTGCATCGGCAGGCGGACTCTCAACCACTGCGTCACCAGGGAAGCCCTAGTAACAGTTTTTAAAAGGTGCCCATGACATATGGGGATCATCAATGTTTAGAAAATCATGATGTTTGATATGAAGATACTATTTTTTAATTCCAACAATTAAAATCTATTGTATTTCCAGAGTTGTTGCTTCAGTAAACCCACAGAATGAGGACAGACCGGGGTAGCAATGTCAGATACTGACTGCTGGTAACATGTGGCTTCAGGATTTAACTCATGGGCTGGTGGCCTTTGGTAAGATCCTAACCTGCTGAACAATCTGACCTGAGTGTGTGCCTCTGAGAAACTGGAACTAAATAAGAACATAGGTAAAAGATTATCTATATAACATTTGATGTACCCTTGAGCATAACGTTTGTTGTACCCTTGATCACGGTAAGTCCTCTAAGATTCTTTCCATTAAAAGTAGCTAAGAATACACAGATCATAAGAGTATTAAAATATTAAATAAGATTTTATATTTCAATGGCTCAGCAATATATGTGTGATGTACACAGTAAGTTCTCAGTAAATGGTAGCTATTATAATAAACCTTATACTAATAAAAATGAGCAAACAACCAGAAGTGTATGTTTAGATCAATAAAATACAAATTAAAATGATCTTTTTGGCCTATTAGCTAGGAAAATTTTAAAAACAATAATATATACTGATGGCTACAGAATGAGCATGTTTATACATTGCAGGTGAGTGAGAATGTAAATTGATATAATTTTTCTAATGAACAATCTGGCAGTGTGTATAAAATACTGAAAAAATAAACATTCTCTTGAAAAAGCCATACCATTTCTAGGAATTTACCCTAAGCCATTTTTTAATGTTTAAAGATGCACGTGGACATGCATGTTTACTGCAATATTGATTATATATGTCACACTAAAACTAAACAGATTTTTAAAAATAGATTATATTTTAATTAAATTATGGTATAATCACCCAATGACTTTTATGCAAACATAAAAAGATTTTAAGACCTAAACATAACCAGTATAAAAAACAAAACAATGACAACAGAGTGGTTATATCTTCTTTTCCAAAGAAAGGAGGTAGCTTCTTTCCTAATTTAAAGTTTAAATGAACACATAGACTCATATATACAACACACACACACAAGCTCACTGTTTCTATAAGAAGTTGTCCCAATATTTGTTTTCTTTTGAACAAAGCCTTCTTTCTGAAATTTAATTCATTCGAATATAACATTCAAGTGCACAGAGTAAAAGACATAGGCAATTCATGTCTACATTTGCTTTCAGCATTAAGTGCTTCATTAAGAATTTCAAAATAGCAAAAATTATATATCATAGTGCTTGAATATCTTATGGAAAAGTGCCTTTAGGTGGGCAAAATGTTTGTATCCTAATTTAAGATACATAATTGAGCTCTATAGATGTGAAATAGCTTACTCAAATGAGTCTCAGAACTTTCTATTACACCAAACTAAAACAGTTGTATATCAGAGATCCTATATTGCTATGGCTCCCAATGTATCCCGAAAATGATGATCTAAGACAATGCCATCAACTTTTGAGGAGAGTATTAACAACCATATGTGCCTTCCTCTGCATTTGTCTCTAACTCCTAAATAAGCTTGTACATGACATAGTGTGCGATCCTTAATCAAAGATACCTCTCAGATCTCAGGGCCAAGGAAAACTGGTACGTATCCTGCTGGTTTGGTTCCTCTTAGAAAACAAAAGATATACGAGCCATCATTTTTTCCCCTTTGACTTCACTGTTAGGAAGTGATGTTTTCAACAGTTCAGTCTTTCTCATCACGGATGTCTCTATATATCCTCCCTCACCCCCAACATCCCTTACATGACTCATAGAAGAGGTGACAAGGGAAGAGCTAATCTCAGGAAGGGCAAATTCTCCTGAATATCTTAGCTAATTCCCAACAGTAAAGCACTCTGCCTCTGACAATTTTTCCCCTGCAATACATAATCTTTTCAAAAATCCTGTGTGATAACTAGTATTACTCTTACTTCCCTTATGACAATTTGTAAACTGATATTTAGAGAGGCTTAAGGAGTTGACCAGAATAAAGTAATCGGTAAGTGATGGAGCCACTTTTGTTCTGAAATCTGTGCATTTTCCATTGCACTATGTTCATCTGATATAAAACATACTGAGGTGTGAATTCAGCCTTTACAGAATTTTATAAGGAAGAAACCTTCTAGTACAAATTACTTTCCTCCCAACCTATATTTTTCACTAACTTAATTCCATTTCCTGAATTGTTCTTACACATTTGTATCTAAGACATCTTCCAGAATTACCCGTTACATAATACGTAATTTATGATTTCCCACTTTTAATGCACTAACACAATGTTCTATAAAGTACAAATAATTCAATCTCCCCTCCTATCTCTAAGGATGATAATTCCTCCTTTACCAACAAGACAAAGAAAACAGAATGTACAATCTGTGAAAATTAATTTGTCGTTGGTGGTGGTGGTGGGAGCGGAAACTAGCTGTTTCCACCATTTTACTCAGCACACCTAAGAAATGAATTAACTATAACCAAAGTGAGGTAATTCTGCCTACTGCTAATTGCCAACAGCCATGTGAATTCAACCAGGAACTACATGTAACAAATTTTGAATGTCATTGTTCCTGATAATATCTTAACACATGAGATCCAGCAGCTGATCAAACTTTTAATAAGTATTTATTTACAGTAAGATGTATCAGCTATAAGGTAGGTTTTTTTTTTTTTCAGGCAAGTCTTCATTGGGGCCCCTGCTGCAGCAGGGGAGAACAAGAACAAACAGGTTCTCTTTCTTGCTCGCTTCCTGAGTGAGGGGCGAACTTGTTCCTTATATGGGGTGAGGGTAGGGGTGTGTCCAGGTGGTTTTTAGTCAATTTGTCTTTATAACATTCAGACAATTCAGATACAGTGTTGGGCCAATATCATTTCACAGCATTTTAGATCACATGTACACTGATACTTTATTTTTGATGTTCAGCAGCATTCTTTTTCATAAAATAACCAAAGACTCCTCAGTTATACTTCTTAGGACATTATATCATTTAATAACCTTCAGATATGTTTTAGTATATTACTCTTTACCCAGTATCTTACCTCTGCTCTTAACTCATAGATCACTCTGTCACTGCTATTTTTAGATTTCGATCCTTCCTTTATATCTCCTGATATTTCTTCCATTTTATTTTTATGTTGACCATGAAGAATGTCAAACTGAAAAAAGAAAGTTAAAGTCATAATCACATGATATTACAAAGGCTGGTTCCAGGATAATTCACATTAGTCTTTCATTTTGCTTTCAGTTTTTTTTTTTCTATGTATAACCTGGTAGGTTTTGTTGTTGCTATTATAAATATTGTAGTTGAACCGTGTATTTCTTTACACTTGTAGTTGAAAAGTCCTATGTTGTTGGAAAACAAATCAGCAAGTCTCCATTAATCTAAATTCACAAGTTGAAAACTGGACAAAGCTTAGTTACCTCCACAGATTCTTAATAATTGACTAATTGGATTCTAAACTAATCCAATTAATTCTGATCTTTCAGTCTTGAATATTAGTCCCACAGTACTCTTTGAAATCCTACTTACGTATATTTTCGATGAAGTATAAAAAGTGTATAGATTGTAACAGAGACAAATTTGGGCAACGGAAAAAATACAACTGTATAATGCTCAAGCTGGTAAAATGTATGTAGAACATCTATAAAAGATGCCAATAAATTTCTATAGAAAACTACAGCAGGAAAACAGTATAAATAAACTCTGGCACATCCAGACAATGGAACATGGTTCAGCACTAAAAAAACAAACAAACAAACAAAAGCGCTATTAAACCATGAAAAGACATGGAGGAAACATCAAGGCATATTTTTAAGTGAAAGAAGCCAATCTGAAAAGGCTCCATACTGTATGATTCCAACTATATGACATTCTAGAAAAGGCAAAACTATGTCATCAATGAAAAGATCAGTGGTTTCCAGGGCTTGGAGGAGGAAGGGGCGACTTGGTGGAGCACAGAGGTTTTTAAGGCAGTGAAATTACTCTGTATGAAACTCTAATGATGGATGCATGTCCTTATACATTTGTCTAAACCAGTAATGTACAACACCAAGAGTGAACCTTAGGTAAACTATGGACTTTGGGTGATTATAATGTATCGTGTAGGTTTATCAATTGTAGTAAATGTACCACTGTGGTGAAGGACCTTGGTAATGGGGGAAGCTACCTATGAGTTGGGGGGGTGGGACTGTATATGGGAGATCTATGTACCTTCCATTCAATTTTGCAGTGAACCTAAAACCTAAGTCTATAAAAAGAAACATAGGAATGAGAAAAATCCTAGAAATGCAAACAATGATTTTTCCCCATAGCTGTCCTTATAATTAGAAGTTTTCAGCAGAATCATGAAATTTGATATATATATAATATGTAGATATATACACATAGGCTATTTTGTTTTATTAACATGTTTTTCCTACACTATGTAGGTTTCCAGAATTAAAATTACATAATTTGTATGTAATCTGACAATAAATTAGAATATAAAAGCTATCATTATACCACTTATTTAAAATTTTAAAATAATCTTACTCATGTTATTATTGTTAATAGTAATATTAAGCATGTACTAGTCTCTAGGAACTGGACTTGATATATATTTCCTTACTTAATGCTAACAGTAATCCTCTGTGTTAGGTATTATTATTATTACCCCCTACCCTAAAGAAAAATAAAACATATTTTTACTAGGCTTAAGTAACATTCCCAAATTCACAAAGCTAATAACTGGGGGAAGCAAATTTGAGAACATTCTTACCAAATTCATTACCTGAGTTCTTAAACCAATGCATAAACCAATACTGCATTTATAGTTGTAAAGCTAAATGTCATAATTTTCTGAAAGGCAGTAAGCTTACAGAAATAAATAACAGAGGGAGCATAACAGAAGATACTATCATGCCAACATACTACAAATGGACCATGGTGGAGGGAGGGGCTGATTTGCCAACTGCACAGAGGCTTCATGTTCAGAATTGGTAATGTGGAAAACGCACCACGAAAGTCAAGAGTGAAACAGGACATTATGCCACAAAGTCCATCGGAAGGTTGTCTATGCATGTTTCACTCCACTTTCATGTCAGTTAAATAGAGAGTGTGGCATTAATCTCTGGCCAAAAGAAAAGAAAAGTCACTTTGCTAAAAAAAAGAATAACAAATTTCAAGCCACAGGTTTTGGGTTGTGTCCACCAAAAAAAAAAAAATTAACTCATTGTGGTAATTGAGTGCCCCTAGCTTAACTTCTGAAATCTTGGTCATTACTTCTCAGGGAACTAGATCAATCATAAACCCCCCTCCCCATTGTCAACAGAACTTTCAATGAACCACTCAAAGGAGAGAAGAAGCAGGAAAATACACTTTCATATGCAACAGTAGAGGGAATCCACATCAATTACCTAAAATAATTCCATTTTCATTCATCACTGTGAGCAGAAAATCAAGGATCTCTGGACATAGGAAGAACCCCAAGGCTATGAAAAAATATGACCAAGATTAAGAAACAGAATGTCTGATAGAAAATAAACAAAACAGAAAAATGGTACAATTTAAGATATAAAAGAGAATGATTTTTTTTAAAAAATCTAATCACGATCTTCAGGAAAAAAATGAATATATATTGCATTCATAAATTAAGGACAAAGCAATTTCAAAAATTTAAAGAACAATAATAGGATATTTTTTAAATGTGTCTAGCCATCCTTCCTTCAGAAAAAATTTACTAGAAAAGTTAGAAGAAAGAGTTGAATGTTGGAATGTACCCGTTCTCTTGACGCATTTGCTCCTTTGGACAGCTCATGTGCACCCATGGCACTGCATACCAGTCAAAATGCTGACAACCTTCAAATGCCTCATTCCATCCTGAAGGTCTCCCCTCAACTTCTGACCCACACACCCAACTTGCTACTTATCAATTCTATAGGCTTCCAAAGCTTAACACTTTGAAAAGACTAAGTACTTCTCCTTCAAATGTTTCTCTTCTAGTCTTTGCCATCTCAACAAATATCACCTCCATCCACCCCTTTGATCAGGCCAAAAATATTGGACTTATGATTAACTTTTTTCTTTCTTTGATATGCCACATTCAGACTAAAAACAAATCAATTGAACTTAGCCTTCAATTATTTAATAAATCCATCCACTTTCTACCTTCACCACTACTGCCTTGATCAACCACCAAAATCTCAGTTATTTTAATAACTGCCACACTCTCTGCTTCTCCTCATGGATCTATATTCCCTTTCTCAAAACAGCCATCAAAAAAAGCTTTTTAGGGACTTTCCTGGTGGCACAGTGGTTAAGCATCCACCTGCCAATGCAAGGGACACGGGTTCAAGCCCTGGTCCGGGAAGATCCCACATCCCTTCATGCAATATCTAAAATCCGTGAAGCAACTAAGCTTGCGCACCACAACTACTGAGCCTGTGCTCTAGAGCCCACGAGCCACAACTACTGAAGCCCATGTGCCTAGAGCCCGTGTTCCACAATAATAGAAGCCACCGCAATGAGAAGCCCGTGCACCTCAACAAAGAGTAACCCCCGCTCGTTGCCACTAGAGAAAGCCCGTGTGCAGCAACGAAGACCCAAAGCAGCCAAATATAAATAAATAAATTTATAAAATTAAAAAAGAAAGCTTTTTAAAAAGTAAATCAAATCATGTAACTCCACTGCTCAGATCTTTCCAGAGGCTTCCCAATCCATTCAGAGTATAAGTCAAAGTCCTTACCAGCTGCTTGGTCCTATAACCCTCAGTCCTGATCTCCTATTCTTATCCCTTATTCTAAGCCAGCCCCTCTAACCTCACAGTTCCTATACACTCCAGACAGGCAAGAGCAAAAAAGAAAATAAAAACAGTAAATGAAATATTGAACGGCCAAAGCAATTAAAACAATATAACAGAAAAAAGTTGATTAACAAATTAATGAAACAACTATGCTCCCTCCTATTAAAAATCTGAGTTATTTTGATCATTTAAAAATTATTTTTGAACTCAAAATGACCTTAATTTTGCCACTTGCCTCTTCAACTTTAGGTTTAGATTAATGGAGTTGTAACTAAAAATCTATTTAGCAAATGAAAAATTGAAAGCCATGGATGGGGAGATGGTAAGGATTATTAATTTAGCAGAATTATGAATGTCATCCACAAATGATATGTTACATTAGTTAAATTGAAAATGACAGAAATAGAAGGTATCTGATGAAGGGAATGAGTCAGAATTAGAAAGCATTTTCCAAGTTCATGTCCCTTTATTTAAAATTCAGTCAAGTATAGTCTCTTGCAATAGTTTTTTTTTTTTTGAAATTGCATTACAGTATAATTCTAAAATTCCTCATTAAAATTCCTCTTTTCATACTGCAGTATTTGTGAAAGGTTAAACCAGGCAACTTATCATATCTCTGACTTGAGAAATATCTGCCATAATTTGCTTCTGGAAAATTAGCAACATTATGCATAAATATTTACTCTAATACATTTAGATTTAGCATAGAGTGGAAAAATCTTTCAGGAGAAAATGTCTAGAAAATAAAAATATTGTGTAATATAAATAAAAATATTTTCTTATTTAATCATATAATATAGGAGAAGGAAAATGCATTCAACATTCAATTAATCACCAAGCATCATGATTTCTTTCAATTGTATATTTCTCAACTCTCCACATCTCTCCACATCCCCCATCAAGCTTAGGGCATCTGATTATTTTTTTCCGGATTACCATGTTAGACTCACAACAGTTTCATCATCACCCATGCCCCCAAATCTCTTCTTCACACTGAAGTTTGAGTTATTTGTTTTATTGTAATCAGATTGACCCTGGTCAACACACTTTAACAGCTCTTCCCATTGCCTTCATGTTGATACATACATTTATAATTTGGCTTTTGGGATAAGTATTGACTATCAACTAGTTCAGAATATAAGACCAAATGTTTAACAGTTAGGCAGGTTCTGGTAGGGATACCATATTCTCATGAAAGGTGAGGAATGTAAGAAGGAAATGTGCCCCAATAGAAGGCTACCCAAAATGCAGTGGACCTAGGGACAGCTAACAACGAGGTTCAGTTCATTCAAGTAACTTGAATCAACTGTAAGTGTACAGAGAAGCCTCCAAAATGTCATCACTTATATCATAGCTCCAAAACTTAGCCAAAAATT